TCGTCCTATCACAACTCTGAAATGTTTATATTCCACAATATATGTGCGCTTTTGGTGAATTTACCATGGCTATTTGCCTTGCTCCCCTCTATTTCGATTGACTGATCCTGCTCTAGTCTCCTGTCAAGATCTACCTCATGGGCCCGTAGGTCAGTTTTTTATTTTTCTGGCTGACCGATTTAACTCGGTTCCAGTCCCAGCGTACTTTTACTCCAGCTACTATTTCTCCAGCCTTCGGTTGCACGTACAAAGTCGCCTTTTCTTCAGAGCGCCTAGGCTCTGATTTCCATGCGGACATATGAACCTGGCTAATTTGTGTTTTATTCCAAACTTGTTAATTATAATCCTTAGTGGTTCTCCTTTGTGTAACTTCGGTAAGCCGTAGACTGTTGGTGGTCGTACATCCTTTTTTATTAGTGAATTTGTTGTTCATCCATTGATCTCCCCGTTCCTGTGCATATCTTACAACATGTCCTGTTAAGTTCCATCGATCTTCATAGTTGGGTCCTTATTTAGTAAGCGATAGGTAGTCCTGCTGTATACATTCCATTTTCTCTGTACGGGTTTCCAAAGTTACACAAAGAATGAGAACCACTAAGGATGATAGTTAACAACAAGTTTGGAGCAATACACAAATTAGCCAAGTTCATATGTCTGAAATTCAAGAAGGTAAATGAAAGATTATCAGACACAGTTAAGCACTCATATGAATTTTCTCGGAGGATCAAAAACATAAAACTGGAAGAAAATGAATTAATGGTAAGTTTTGATGTATAGTTTATGCACACAAATATTTCTGGAGAAAGGGCGCTGACGGTTCTATTAGAAATCTTGAATCGAGAAGAGGATTTTCTAGAAGCAGAGAATATCAGAAGAGAATCGTTAACATGATTAATCCATTAGACAATGAGTACTACCTACTTCATATTCACTGATAACATCTATGAGCAGACATTTGGACTTGCTATGGAATCACCTCTCTCACCTCTATTGGAAAATTCATATATGAACAAATTAGAAGAGAATTGCAAGGTGTCACAACTGCAACCAAGAGTTCTTATGCGGTACCTGGATGACTAGTTTGCAATTTGGTCGCATGGAGGAGAAACGTTTGAAGAATTACCGAAATTTATGAATGGGGTTGATGAAAAAATCGAATTCACAATGCATGTAGAGAAAGAGGGGCGTTTGGCTCTACTGGGACACTCAAGAGGAAATTGTTTTTAAAGAAGTTATACGCCGGAATAATGGTCAATTTTGAATTTCATCAAATCTACAAAATGAAGATAGACATATTAAGGAGCATGATCATCATCAGATTAACGGACGTGGAATTCGCGGATGAAGTATTGGAATAATTGACTCGGATATTCCTTTTTGATGGATATCCGAGAGACATTGTTCAAAAAAACATACTGGCCGTGAAGAGCCGATGGCAGGACGGAGATTATGAAAGAAAGGTAAACATGGAGAAAGACTCACAAATGTGTATATGTGTCCCTTCCTGTGAACTAGCTCAAAAACTACGGCCAATATTAAGAAAATGGAGTATTCAAGTGACCACGAAAGAAAAAACAACACTCTTTACAAGTCAGCATGAGAGGGTAGATAAATTGGATTGCTCAGAAGTTTACTGCATAGCATGCGGCGTCTGCGAACATAAATACATTGACGAAACTGGGAGAAAAATCGACTTGCAAATCATGAAACATCAAAGGGTTTGCAGGAAAATGGATACTGAAAGATCAGATATAGTTGAACACATCGCAGAGACTGGATACAAGGTCAACAGGAAGAAGGGCTTTATACAATGAAAGCACAAATAAACGGAAGATTAGGGAGGCCAATGAAGTCTTTGGGGAAAAATTTAATGAACAGGAGATAGGAAGAATGCAGAGTTAGTGATAACTTTGCCTATTGCCTAATCAAACTCGGAGAAAACAGATATGCAATAAGACAAACAAAAAAGAGACGCCTGGATCAAGGGTCTATCATAAACCAGAGGAAAAGAGATCACAAAGAAGAAGAGGATGAGGAAGCTTCGGAAATTAAGCAAATACGTGCATTGTGACCAAATAGGCTAGTAATCCATTTGAGATACAGCTGGCGACTAGATGCTAACAGTTTGCTCAGGGTACACGGGCTCAATCGAGGAGAGGATGCGTGTAGGTAATGTCTAAAATCCGCAGGCATGGGAATCAGAACCTAGGCGCTTTTAAGATAAGGCGACTTTATACGTGCAACTGGAGGCTTGAGAAATAGCACTTGGAGTAGAGGTACGCTAGGGCTGGAATCGAGTTAAATCGGTCAGCCAGAAAAATAAAAAACTGACCTACGGGCCCATAAGGTAGATCTTGACAGGAGACTAGAACAGGATCAGTCACTCGAAAGGGAGGGGAGAAAGGCAAACAGCAGGTGGGATGACGCTATGGTAAATTTACCAAAAGAGCACATCTATTGTAGAATATAAACATGTCAGAAGTTGTGATATGATGAGGCCGAGACTAGAGGGAATGAATAGAGGGACCAAGACAAATCGAGGAACATAACCGTTTCGACAGAAGGTTGGTCAAGGGATTTACTTCACTTGTATTTTTGACTTGTTTGTAGCTTGGTTTGATGAGAATGGCAAGACTCACTGATGATGTCCACTGCGATTCCGCCGAAACGTCTGGGAATGCACCACGTCCACGGTCCGATTCTGGAAATGATCTTGCATACTATGGACTCCGGACAAGGTGCATTCTTCCAGGTCTTCCTCCTTCTAATATGACCAAGTTGCGAAACCAACGCCAAACAACTACTGTACAACGAAAGGAGATCGCAACCATACATAAGGTCACACCATCCTGCTCTTCATACCTTGGATTACTTTTTATTGCAATGCTGAGAGAAAAATTTTTCCAAGCTTTATAGCTGAATAATTTCAATCATGAGTACTTTGGATGGAACGGCAGGTGGTAATCGAGAAGGGACATCATTTGTGGTTAGATCTTCGTTGCCGTGCTTTCAAATACCCTCGTATTGCTAGAGAAAAATCACTATTCGCTATACCTCAACATTGTTTTCTCGTCCAGGAGGAACTGCCGTTTCGACCTCGCCTAGTTACCGTCATCTACCCGAAGGTTAGGCGATAAACCCCTTTCGGCCTATTTTTGTTCCTCAGGCGAAAGTATGCCCGTCACCAAAACCCCGCTGCCAGACGTCTCGAGCAACAGTCGACGGACCTCTTCGGCAACTGGTCGGCGTCGTCGAATTGGCCTGAAAGCTGTGGTTGCTTCTCATAGCGGTCATAAACAGCTTGATTTGGTAGACAAGACTTCAACGATGCCTCTTGCATTGGTTCCAAAAATGCATCCACTGCAGTCGCCTGTCTCTCTGCCACCAACACATAGAGATTTCCTTCTGCTACGAAGTCTTCCTGAACCTTCAGGTCCTGGCATCGTTGATGGTGTTGAGGAGGCAAACGGGCGGCTAAATAGCGATGACATATTCGACATCAAAACTTCCGGTCGTCACTTGCTGTTTTGTGGAACACAAGTCATCCAGACTCGCAACTATGCTGATGAACGCGTGCTAGCCGTTGTCTCTCGAACTGGCTTCCAGACGGCTAAGGGTGAAATGGTGCGCGCCATTCTTTTTCCCAAACCAATGAAGTTCAAGTTCACCCAAGATGCATTTCAATTTGTTGGCGCTCTGGCTGTAATCGCAGTGATTGGGTTTGGAATCTCAGTCTACATTATGGTACGTTCGTCTCTGTTACC